GTCAGATAGAGATTTAAGATAATTAAAAATCACTTGTTATTCGCCTCGACATCGCGGCATGCACGCTAATTTTGCAACGGTTAATGGAAAACATTAAAGAACCCACGATTTTTACCTAAATCAGCATTTAGCATTTTAGCATTTTCCCCCCTTTTTTTCTCCTTTTTACATTTTTGGAGAAATGCTATTTTTGGTGGTATCATTTAGGCGACTTTATATCCAACGCGACCCTCGCCACAAATCGTCAGACAATTCAAATTGCGACTTCATCAACGCAGCTCCTTCATACGATGGGGGATGAATTTGAGAGGGCGTTGATTGAAAAGCTTAAAAAAGCTGTATTTGGACTCATTTGATGAGACAACGGATTGCAGTTCCAAGAAGCACATGGCGACAGGAGTCACCGTTTTTATGATGAAAAATGTGCTCCAATTGAAACATTTTTCCATCTCCTTGAGCCATCAGGAGGGACGGCAAAAGAACTTGCAGATTGTTTAATAAATTCTATAGAATGTAAAGGCATTCCATTAAACCATCTATCAACTGTACGTGCAGATACTTGTAATACAAATTTTGGAGACACGAATTCAGTTACTGTACATCTAAAATAAAATAATACCAACCTTGTTAGCAATAAAATGTGTATGTCATTTAATTAACCTAGCATTAAGGAAATCTTTCGAAATATTTTTGAAAGAAATTGATCATATGCTGCACAGTTTTGCTAAAGCATTTTGGGAAAAGTCCCAAAGCAACCGGAGCTCTTCAAGTTTTACGAGAGCTTATGGGATTCGAAATTCATAAAATTTAATTTTCGTCAGGAACTCGTTGGCCAGCTCATGGCCAATGTGTCGACCGTGTTTTGGAGCAATACCCAGTCCTGCAGAAGTATTTTGCAGATTTGACCGTAAAATTTGCCAATAATCAGAAAAATGTTGCAAAAATAAATTTTATCAATTCAATTCTTCAACCCCCCATAACTAAATCATATTTGCTGGTGGCGAGCCAATATGTTCTAGGCATTTAGGATCGATTCAATAAGCTCTTTCGGAGCGAATTTGGAACAATGTTTTTATTAAAGCCGAAACTCGAAAATATGATGAGAGAAATCTTGACTTGTTACTTGAAAGATACTTATGTAAACTCCTCCAAAAGCTTGTTTCTTTTGGATCACAAGGATCCTCGCGAAAGTAAGGACCGCAGTAAGTTTTATTTCGGCCCAATCCAAGATATGTCACTAATTACCAAAAAAAAAAAGCAGGCACCCAAAAAATATGATGGCAGTACCGTTTGGATTCAGCATTTAAAAGGAAATGATATCAAAACGGCCCAATTTCCTCTTTCATGATATACTATACACCCCTACGTTTTTCACCAAAAAAAAANAAAAAAAAAAAAAAAAAAAAAAAAAAAAAAAAAAAAAATTAAGTACCTATAAGGTATGATGACCTGAACACGTTTGACGATGATACTTGTTCATGTATATATGCAAGATAGACGATAATCACCCTATTATCTACCACTTGTATGTACGGCCGGCCGGCCTATTCCTTTTTTTTCTTCGAATTTTTTTTCAATTTTATGACGATTTTGTGTTTTTATAGTCTATTTCCTTGTTTGCCCATGTTTCCATGTCAAGAGATTGGGTCAGGAAGGTTTTTTCTCTTTTTATCATCTAAAACCCGTAAGCTGTAGGTGCTGCCCTCTTTGATATCGAATATTTAAAAAAAAATTTAAGCACTACAAAGTGTCTCCTTCTTCTCTTCAGAAGCAGCAGAAAGAATCAATCTCGAAGGTTTACAATCGTTCTCCTCCACGAACTCTACTAAACGAGAATTCAAGCAGAACATCTGTGAATCTGGTAAGTTTTTTTGAATAGTCTATTTGAATAATCTACTTTAAATTTTCTGCATGTATTCGTTTTTCTTTTTTCTTTTTTCTCTTTCAAATTCTTTGTGATATTGGAAGTAAATTTGAAAAGAAAAGTAAGTGGGACACTAGGTGTTTGCAGGTTTGAGGTATGCAGAAAATTTCGGCACTTTAAGGAGAGAAAAACGAATCTGTATACAATGTCTGCAAAATTTCCTTGCAATTTACTCCTATGTTTTCACAGCGCAGAGACTGTTCGGTAACATTTAAGGAGTGCATGATTAAATTTTATTTTAGAAAGTTAATTTTCAGAATGATGTGTGGTATGTTTCGTACATGTGAAAAGCAGTATTAGATTTAATTTAACAGACTAAAAAAGGAAATCAACGCTTCACTCTGCAGAACTTTAAATTGTGAAGGTGTGATATTAGTTATTATTTTGGACTGAGGAGTTGTCCATTACAATTCCTTGGAGTGATGTACGTGAGTTACATTGATTAAGTTTTTGGGTTTTAAATTTGCAACATTGTTCAAAATCAGGTGCGTACGGCCAGAATCCAGGATCATGCGTAAAGCTAGGATTTTCCTTCGTTTTCGCGTGATAGCAGCACACCCTATTCTAGGGCTATAGTATAGTTGCAATTTTTATTTCATCACTTAAAGATGCAAACACATAATATCGTTGAAAATACACAATTTTTTTTTTTTATCGATGCGAGCATAACATTTATAAACGTCAGTAACTTTGGATAGGCAAAAGGCTAAGATTCTCCTTCAATTTCACGTGATACCACATACCACATCCTGCTCCGGAGTCCAGGCAGTTGCTCGCTTGGTTATATCTTGTTAAAAACTAAGGAAGTACGCGAATCTCATCTCATTTAATTCCGCAAAAAGTACACAATATTTCGGGCAGATCCGTTGAATGTTCAATGTTTGTCGCGGGGAAAAAAGCATCTAACGAGATATCAACAAAGATCACACAATTTTTGGCTTAATTTCGCGGAAAGTACATGAATATTTTGTCGATGAGCATAACATTCATAAACGTCATAACTTTGGAAGGATAAAAGCTGAGATTCTCCTTCAATTTCACGGGATAGCACATACCTACTCCAAAGTTCGAAAAGTTGCTCGCTTGGTTTCCGCTTGTTGAAAGTGAAAAAATACAATAATCTCACCTCACTTTCGTGAAAATTACGCGATTTTTCCAGCGGATTTGTTCGATCTTAAATAATTACGCGCTTTTCATCTTTGTATCGCGGAAAACGCGTGATTTTTCAAAAATGTCATGTGAAAAAGAGAAATTGCACGACAATTGCCACGATATTGCGGCAAATATGCAATTACTCTGGAGGCTTTGTAAAATGATCCACGATTACGCTTCATTTGCCTCGAAATCTTGGAGTGAACGTAAATTTTACAGCAGATGACGAAAAAATTGAAGATCCCACAATTTTCACCTGAATCGCAGGAAGTACGCGAATTTAATATCGATGCGTGCTCATAATTTTCATACGAGTCGTAAACTCAAATAGGAGAAAAGCTATAAATCTCTTTCAAATTCGCTTGATACCACATGTACCTACTCTGAAGTTCGTATAGTTGCTCGCCTCAATTCTGATTTTTAACAAGTGAGAAATTGTGCGACTTTCATCTCAATATTGCAAGAAGCAGCGAAACGCGATACTTCCAATGGATTCGTTAAATCCTGTCGAGAAATGACGCACTGCTCATCTCGGTATCGCGCGAAATGCATTTTTTCTCTCGCTTTTTTGCAAGAAAAAAAAATGATAAATCACGTTAGAATCATCGGAATATCGCAACAAGCACGGGATTGCTCCAGAGGCATCGTAAAATGATTATAAATCACTTGTTATTTGCCTCGACACCGCGGCATGCACGCAAATTTCACAACGGTTAATGGAAAAAATTAAAGATCCCACAATTTCACCTAAATCACCATTTAGCATTTTAGCTTCTTTTTTTTTAACATTTTTGGTGGTATCATTTAGGCGACTTTATATCCAACGCGGCTCTCGCCACAAATCGTCAGACAATTTAACTTGGAACATTACAGTGGACGTTCTTTTAGCCGACGGAAAACGACGATACAGAATATGAGTGCGTAAAGGTCAGCAGTAGATCAGCAGCTTGCAGCAGGCGATTTTGAATAAAGTAAAAGCGCCATTAAAAGATTCAAAAATACAATTATAAAATTATTGCACGGTTATACTATTAAAATATCGTGATGTGAAAAGGCAAACCGCAACGGATCAGGAAATAGACTTATAGCTGCATCACAAGCGCTGAGTGCACCTGCGGGCTGATTTTTGAAATGATAGACAAGCTGTAGGCAAAGAAGACACAAGGAGTATGGAGCAATCCTATTGGTTGCAGTGGGTGGTTCTTATAGACAAAAGGAGACCCACTCTAGTGGGTATTGCCGTTAGTTAGTCTAGACCGACCTCCTTTGTCCATTGCAACCACCCGCTTCCACCAATAGGATCCCACCATCTCCTGGTTGTATTTCTGTCTATCGCTTTGTCTACCAATTTCAGAAATCAGCCCGCTGAGGACAGTCTAGACCGACCTTCTTTGTCCATTGCAACCACCCGCTTCCACCAATAGGATCCCAACATATCCAGGTTGTCTTTTTTGTGTATCGCTTTGTCTACCAATTTCAGCAATCAGCCCGCTGTAGACAAGGCACGAGTTAGGTTATATTCTGATACATGTTTCCGAGTTGAAATTTCATTCGTACACGATTCGGACAGCAAAAATTGCGAAAATTAACTCCTAATAGAGATGTCCAACGTTCTTTAACGAACTTTATGATGAAACGCTGCACTTCCTGCTCATAAAAATACAATTCTCTACGGGAGTTAAATCGCGCACTACAGGTTTCCGTGAAAGTCTCTGCAGCAGAAAAATAGGTACATATATAATATAATAGAAGGTACACAACTATTAACATAAACCTCAAGAGCTTAAGAGGTAAATTTTTTCGGCTGCCACAATTAATCCGCGCCCACATTTTAGGATTTTTCGCCTCCCTGGCACAGCGACCATGTTGTGACGTACAGGTGGAATATGATGTAGATAAATACATTCGGGGTATAAAAAGGTAGTTGCGTTATCAATTGGAATTTTATTGAAAATGCCATCAGTTCATCATCACTCGAATCACCAACCTCTTTCTATCGACTCAGAATTATGCAAATTGATGACTGAACTATATGTTAACTTTTAAAAGTGGAAAGAAGTAGTTTTCTTTTTGCATGGTGATAATGTAATAAACTGTCACGTTTTGCTAAGAGTGTATCAACCCTGTAACAAGTAATTGAGAGGTTTCAGTTTGTGTGGACATGTGTAGCGATTTTTAATTTAATTTTTTCCCCTTTCTAGACACGTTTAAGAAATGTTGGGAAAACGCAGTTAAGCTGACAGTTGGTCGGAAAACGGTTTCGGTCTCTGAAGCCGAGCTCGATCAGCCATGTAAGAGAGGAAAACCTGGAAACGACGAATTTGCGGAATTTACGAATGTAAAGAAAGTGGAAGTTGTATCACTTGATAATGACGACTGTGTATCGTCCGAGGAGGAAGCAGAAGAAAATAGAAACATTCAGAAGCGCATCTTTCCAATGGAGTAATCGATAACAGCTCCTCCAAAAAAGGAAATGAAGGAGGTTCTTCCGAAAGAGGAACTGAAAAGCACACTTCCGAGAAAGAAACTGCACAAGGTTTTACAGTTTTTTTTCCGTTTTTTTTTTTTTTTTTTTTTTTTTTTTTTTTTTTTTTTTTTTTTTTTTTTTTTTTTTTTTAAAAAAAAAGGAAAATTGTTGTTTTACACCAGTAAACCCTATTAAAAATTGGTTTGTGTTGAAATTAACACGAGGTGAGCTTCGTCCTTCCACGTCAGTTCAGGTTCTCTTGAACCCTACCTTTTCATAGTTGTGTAGTTGATACGTATTTCTTCTGTTCGATAAGATAGTGCGGATTAGTCCAAGAGCCATTTCAGGTCGTCTGTTATTTCGTAGTGTCCATTTCATTCCCAACTCCAGACTCCACAATGGCAAAGATTGAGATACACAACGTTCTTTGACGCACTTCATAATGAAACGCTGCACTTCCATGGTCATAAAAAAAACAATTCTCTGCGGGAGTTAAATCGCGCACTGTACGTTTCCGTGAAAGTCTCTGCAGCAGAAAAATATGACAAGATCAATCTTTGCGCTTCGACTCAGCTGTTGCTCGTTGTTTACTCTCCAGACAATGCAGAAAAACCGTTGCGTTGTAGTGTGCGATTTGACTTACGAAAAGTATTGTTTTTATTGTCACCGGGCAATTCAAATTTCCCATAACCAGTGCAACAAGGATAATTTCTTGGTTATGAGTTGATTACAGTTTTCGTTGAGCGAATCGTGTTATACGTAAAATTTTGGTGAAGAGACGTTTGTCAGAATACTTAAATCTATACCTGGTCTATTCAGGCGAAAAAAGCTAACTTATGGTGTCGAGAATTGTTAACTATGCTTATTCTCTGCGTTTTCCCTGACTTTCAGGAGCTCATTCTCCGATGAGAATCTGAAATTTTTCCCCACTTCCCCAAGATTTTCTAAGAAAATCTATGTAACTCTCGATCCGGAGTTCCATACATGAATATTGATTTGTCATCTTTCAGCGAATCATAGGGCGCTTATTCTATTTTATAATTCCAAAAACGTTCCTGGTGTTTACATTATTTGAAAGCCTCTCATTATTATGATGATTTAAATATTCGAGAACTTCTGATCTAGGCTTCCCCAAATTCTTATGCACCATCAAAAAAAAATCGCGACGGAGTCCGAGTATTACCAGATCACTCGGAATACTGTTTTGTGAAAATTGAGGGCGTAGACTTATAAAATTTCAGAGAAAAATACTTCGGAATACCAAAACGGTAAAGCTGGGAATTCCTCTTGAATATAATAGATATATACCTGTCATTTAAGTTGGGTTCAGTATGATAATTTTCTTTATAAAAGATACATCAATAGTCAAAAGTTTTAGTAAAGATATCACTAAATATTAGATCTCATCAAAAGAAAGAAAAAATGGTTTAATACGTACCAGCGGTAGGTTATTCGATTGTCCGACGCCAGGCTGAAAGCTAGAGGGTGTCCAATTTATGACGGCGAAATCCAATTAAGAGTTTTTTTTTGGCTGGAAAAAAATCACAAAAAAATCTCCGGGTCGTAGCTAAAGGCTAAGTTAGTGGCAAGGCACTTGAGTGGTTTTTACCGATTTCTCAACTTGCAAATGTTAGCAATTTCGCAGATTTTTTTTTTTTTTTTTTTTTTTTTTTTTTTTTTTTTTGGAAAATGCAATTGAGCTAGAAAGTCTAAAATGTGGAAAATAAGACTTCTGATAGCATATTTCAAGAGGAAAATATCAGTTTGGACCCACGAGGTCCACAAATCCCTCCTTTTCTGCTCTCAAAATGCAAAAATCGTCAATTTCAGCTACATTTCAGTAATCAGTCAATTACTGCTTCAATCTAGCACCTGCACTGAAGGAAGTGGCGAAAGGCAGCCTACAGTGAAGGGGTTATTATTCAACTCTTGCTTGCCGGGTCCAAAGCCCATTGTGCGTGGCTAGGAGGGGCTGTATGGCAAGGTGAAAATTGCATTGTGGTCTAACAATAATATGAATGATTGATTCAGAGGTAAAAAACGCATGCTATTTGGGAAATTATGCATAGTTGCAGAAAAAATATGCAACGCATTTGTGTGCAGGCTTCAGCCTATCTTTACGCCTTAGTCTCATGAGGGAGAAAAAGAAGGTAAAAATAGTTACCAGAGCTCACCACGGGGAGGCCCTGCACACGGAGCTCCACCCCCAACCCCTTTTGGACAGTAGCGTGGCGTGAATTGCGATATATCGATTGTTATGCCATGTAAAACTATGGTAAAGAATCGTTTATAAAGGCGTTCGCTGCGAACACCCTGTTCATCGATCCTTTTCCATAGGTTTAAATGGCATAACAATCGATATATTGCAAAGCACGCCACGCCACTGCTTTTGGAAGACTCTGACATTTGTAAATTGTGAAAAATTGACTTCTCACCATCACTTATGGCATCTAGACGTTGAAGTTTCTGGGCCTACTTCAAATCCGGAACTTCGATTTCGTGTCAAACTTCGGCATTTTGCTCCGATGGTTGAGTCGTTGGATGATGATTAGGTGTTTCCCTTCCGGTCCGATGGGCAAGGTCGAAACCTCTGTCACTTCCTTGACGCATCTTTCTACCGCTTGGGAATGGCAAGGAAATGATGATTCGTGGCTGCAATTATTCTTTTGCAACTTTGAAACGTCTTCATAAGAAGGATTTGACACAATTGAGTACACCGTGACTGTTACCGTGTCCCGGTCAATCAAATTGCTGTAATGATAAGCCACAAAACTGAATATTGGTACTTCGATAGTGCGGACATTTTCCTTTATGATCTGCAAAAGAGATAGCACTATTTAAGTTTTTTTTCTAGATTCTGATCAGGAGTTGAAGCAGCTTCTGAAAGCCAAACGTATACGGAAGCCGACACTTAAGATCATATCTCAAGGTTCGGTTTCAAAAAGAAAATTTCAAGAGAAAGGAGTCCAAAGTAAATTGACTCATTGAAAGTCATGTCATATGGTAAAATTTTTTCATTTTAGGTAATGAGGATTTCCACAGACAGTAATTATTGATGTGTGTTTTCAGTCAGGATGTAGAATTTCTTCGATTCTGGTTTTACATGAGTGGCTGTTAAAGCATTCATGGAATGGCATAGGCTCGCAAATGTTACTATCACAGGGCTNCTTTACTTTAGTAAAGTCCAGTATTTTTGATCAAAGGATGAATTTGTAACTATGCGTTCTTCATAATCTAATTTACATCCTGGTTTTCATCATCAGGAATGTTAAGTAGGTATGGTTTTTTCTAGTCAAGCTTTTATTTCACATGCCTCTTAATATCCCATAGCTTTAAATTATATCTGTTTGAGCAAAGAAATGCACATTTTAAAACCTTGTTTCTTTTTTCCAGTCTCAGAGGCGTGTTGAGCCATCACCAGAATCAAAATATACCTCACCAAAACACAAAACTATGTTCAACGAAAGGAAGATACCAGAGCTTTCACCCTCCAATAGACAAACAAGCAACTCCTTCAATTCTCCCCGTGCCTTACCATTGCCTCGAGCAATAGTCCATCCACGGGAACTTCGAGAAGTTGCAGCACAAGATGAAATTGAATGCTTCGCCACGGAGGGAAGTCCATGTAACTTCTCAGCTTGGTCTTCATTAAGTGATTTGACGGTTAATTCCAAAAATGAGCAGCCGCGTCCTGTTTCATCACCTGTACCTAACAATGAGTCGCCTCCAATGCAGTCCTTAGAACACACTGGTAAGGCATAAATAATTTTTTATGATTATTTATTCAGGAAGAGTTCCTTATGAACCGGTATCAACCTGATTCTTCATCATGGAATTAAGTCTCTATATAAACAGTGAAATTGCAAAAATGGGCATCTCTGTTCCGGTGTTCTAAAATCTCTGCTCCTGATTTATTTTTTGAAAAGAGACCAAACCATTATAATTGCTTGAAATTTTCATAGAATATTCTTCAAATATAGAAGAAAAAGTTACTGAAGTTTTCAAAAAATTACTTTTGATTGTTTTCCATGCAGGGAAAGGTGTACGACAAGAAGTCTTCAATGCCGCAAATTAAGATAAACATTTCTGCAGTTTCACCATCAATATGCTCCTTATTGAAAAAATAAACTGCTCAGTTACTAAATTCAGCAAGTGACCCCTAACTAAAGTCTGCCTTGTATTTTTCGACTGTCTAATTCTTTGTTTTTGCGATATTCCATAGAAACTGCCCTCAATTTTCTAAATGCAGATTTAAGTTCTCTCTACTAGCACTCTCTGGACCTAAGTTAATTCTGTGTGGTTAACCACCAAAAATGTTTAATTATTGATGGTAACAATGGAATATGATATTTAGAGCCGAAAATAGAAAAAGTTGAGCTTTGTCTACAAGATTTAAGCCTTTTTATTTTTCTGGTACAAAAGACTTTATGAAGCCCACGTGAATTATGAACTTGTCTTTCTTGCAGGAAAGTGATGCTAGGCTCTAAACGTGTCGTTTTTGTGGAAATTAGAGCCGTTAAACGATAGGCATTGAGCAGGATTAGTAGAAAAGGCATTTTTAAGAAGTAAGAATGCGAGTTTATTAAAGTGACATTCCTTGGTTTACCATTTATTTATTCCAAATTTTCTTCTAATATCATCCTTTGATTGTTTCCAGATAAAGATGAAATCACGGTCATCACAAAGAAACTTTCCGAATGTCAGATGAAAGACTCTTGTGACACTTGGAATGATGACTCAGCGATTACAAAACCTACCGAATTTTCCATGAAAGAATCTTGTGGCACATGGAACGAAGACTCCACCTCATTGCCCAGCTTTAACTCGCCTCTAATCAACAAAAGCATGGAGGGAAAAGAAGTGATAAATGTAACAGAGCCAACAATTAATACCACAGAAGAGCAAGAAAATAAACAGCCAATCGCTACCATCACTCCTTTCATTGAAAACCGCGAGTACAATGAAGAGATTCTCTCTGATTCCCATGTTATCGAACTAGAGGCTGGAAAGATAACTATCATCTCATCTCTGGACATGGAGCATAGCATGTCGTCTATAGATCTTGAGTCTGTTAAGCCTCCATCGATAATGAGTAGCTCTTTCTCGATGACGTCCAGCATCACAGAAAATGGAAGTCTAGGAAAGAGTAATAAAATGCGTAGCCTACTTTTCCGTCGAGCATTGGGAGACTCTGTTAGTTGCAACATTGAATCAACCAAACCGCCATCATTCCTGGAGGAGGCAAATTTAGTAGATCTGGAAAATTCTATTGTTAGTGTTGCGAGTATTGTGTCCGAGGTTGTCGATTCGCCTCCACTTTCTCTAACAGAAGATCTTACTGTTACGGATACTTTTATGACTTGCAATGATATGACTGACTCATCAACCAGCGGTGGCATCACACCAAAACAAAAGAGGAGTGGAGAGAGAGACAGGTAATTTATACATTCCCTCCACAAAAATTAATTTCCCCATTTTGCTGTTCCTTTTGCATATTTTTTTTTTCTTTTTCTGTTGCTTTTCTTTTTATTCTCCAAAGAGGGAGCACTTCCAGTAGGCAATATAACTGAACAAGCCATTGGCCAAAGTCAGCGATACACTTTCAGATTAATTGAAAGACTTTCCATGAAGAACGGTCGTAGATTACTGCACTGAATTAAAAATTATGGCCTACTCAAAGTTTCGTATGAAATTCGTAAATATACCAATTAAGTTTCTTGCAGGAGAAAGTCTGAGGGTACTTGTAAGATTTGTTGTGTTAATGTTTTCAATAAGTATTCTCATTCAAAAGAAGTACAGAATGGGGAAGCAAGATGGAACTCGAGTTGTTTTCAATCCAGAAAGTTGAGCAAGACTAGCCTATTCTATAATCAGTATTCAGTGCTTTGGTCTAATTGGCACTTTTTAGGGCTATTAGTATCGATGGTGAAACGGCACAAATGTGTATCTCGGATGCGGTGATTACTGATGCAGTAGTCTCTGCTACTGTTTTATTTTGTAAAAAGACCTGATCATTATCGTGGTGTGAAATTTTCACAGAATATCCTTTAGATAGAGGAGAAAAATCACCAAAGTTTTCACGAAATGACTTACAGTAGTTTTCTATGTAGAACATAAAGTATGGCAGGGAGGTTTGCAACGCTTTAAACTGATAGTACACATTTCTGCAGTTTCACAATCTATATGGAACTTTGCGAATGTAGCATTTATTCAGTGAAGATGGGATATACTTACCTGAAACACATGTGACTAAGAACTACTTAAGTGCAAACTTAAAAAATGGTAATTTTTATGAAATTATCATGATTCATCCCAAATTGGTATATATTTAGGTTTGTTTCCTCCTTGTCACCCTAAATTTATATTACCAATGTGCAACAGCTAAAATCACCATCTCAGTTAAAGCTTTTTCCATTCCTGTTTTCTGTTTCTGCTTTACTTTGGAAGAGGAATTTAAGCAAGCATTGTGACTTGAAATTTTTACAGACTGATCATAGAGTTCTAAAGAAGAAAGACAATTTCAAGCCTTAAGATTGTTTTTCTGCTAAATTAAAATTAATGCTCAGAAATTTTAAAATGTCACAATGGGAATGCCTGGTTTTGGGGCTCAGCAATCTTTATGCTATTGAAAAAGTACAGACTTCCTCTATTAAAGAGTATATTCTAGCCATTGTTTCATCTGTTTCTCTCTTAATGTTTTCAGGTACAACACTTACACAATCCAGCCAGACAAGAGCAGAGAAGGTTCCGTTGAGCCAGGCGTCAAAGAATCGCAAAATGAAGCGGCAAAGAAGATCACCCCAAAACAAAGACGGCAAACAGAGAAAGACAGGTTTTTGACACGCACTATCGGCGATGGGGACTTTATAGACAATAAGAATGAAACCCCTCATGTTATAGCAAACTTGGATAGTAAACTATCCCCAAAACAAAAGCGGTCCGCAAATAAAGACAGGTACTTAACGAGGACTCTCAGTCGAGACAACAGTCTTGGGAGTGACACTTTAATACCCATTGATAATGATATCTTAGATCCTGATACAGTGACTAACATCTCAGATTATGAATCTGAGGAGGAACAAGTTGTCAATGTGCCAAAACCGTCAATTGCAAAACCGGTTAAAACAGAGGCAATTAAGAGCGCAGAGACAAATAAGAGCACAGAGACCAAAAACAATAAAAAAAGTGGTATCCCCACTTTCAAGAATAAAACCACCCCCAAAATACAGACCACCGAGTCACCAAGTAAACCACCCTCAACTGGAAGTAGGGTTTCTCCGAAAACCCCACCTGTAGACGCTGGAAGTAGGACTCAGAAAATTCAGCCCCCAGAGCCAGCGAGTAAGATCGTAAAAAGTCAGGTGAAAAAGGAAATAACCACAACTAATGCGGTCCGACCGACGAAACTGTTACAACCATTACAAAGACAGGGTACTTTTACGAAAGATAAACCAGTGACGCCTGTTTCTGGTATCCCTGTTTTGTCTCCGAAAACTGCTAGTGCCAAAAAAATACCAACGAAGATTGCTTCTCTAAGGTCTCCAACGTGAAATTGAGTGTGTCCATCTTAACCAAGTATAGTTGAGCAAGTTGATCCTACTTTACCCTTAAGTTTCATTTCAGTTTGTTTGATTGTACTCATTTTTGAAGCCCTGAGGAATAGAGTTTGGCTTGCTCAAAGAACGGATCGTAGATTTTTCAAGGACACCAGTCATTCTTTTTGTCACCAATGATCTTTAATCCAGCCTGTATGAGCACTAGTAATCAGATTTAGTCGGTTGCTCTTGTTTTTGCTTAACTTGAATATTTTCCTCCCTCTCAAGTGTCAACTTTCTCAACTTACTTCCTCATCTTCTTCTTGGCAATCCTCTATGAAAGTCCTGCAAAGCCATCTGTCTATATCCTTTTTGAATATATGTTTCATGTAGAAAAAAAAGGTACCATTGTACTCGTATCCTTAGTTAGCTGAGTGCTGAGGATTGAAATGCAATATATATTTAATTAACGAAGTTTAATTAATCACGATTTGCATTTTTATTTAAGTAAGTTAGGTATTCTTAAAAATATCTATTGTGTAGTTTTCATATCATTGAGATTACCCATGTAAACTGTTTCTTCTATTATCTGTCGATTTCATGTAACAGAACAATATTTTGTGCTTCTGAGAATGTGCTATCAGTGGGGACTTTTATGATGATTGTAGTAATTTTTCCCCCTTTTGGCATGTACCCAAAGATTCTTATGAATAGATGAAAAAAATATTGTTCTCTTCAATTTGATTATCTCTCGGGTACGTACAACAACCAGAGAGGCAAAAAAATTTCCGACTGAATTCACTTTCTTCCTCCTCATTCATTATCATGCCCTCTTTTATCACTTATATTTTAGCGCTAAGTTAACCCTTTTAAAAAGGTGTTGTGCCTGCATTGTGATGAAATGTGCAAAAAGACTTCGTAGTTTAGGTTAAATTTAGAACAATCTTTGTATGGCTGGAATCAGGTTTTTAGTTTGTAGGTTTTGTTTTGTTTTCCTGCTTTTATGGTTACTTGAAGTCAGTGAAAAATATTGTATATTTTTCACTCAAGGGTCTGGTATGTCAACAGGTACTTGATATTTTTAACTTAATGTTTGTGAATGAACTGTAATTGTTCAAAACACGTGAAAACCTCATGTACTCGTCTGTAGTAAGATGAGCATTTTAGTCAGATTTTTAATACTTGTGTCTTTTATGTAGATTATGTTGATACATTTCCTTATGTAACTTTATTCCTTTTTTAGCATTATTTTAAAAAGTGTACAGATATTTTTCTATGAAAGTGTATTGTTTGAAACCAGCCAAGTTTAATGGCTTTTTCCCCCCCTGTTCTTACTCTTCCTTCCTAACCAATTGTAGATAGAGTGTATTTAATTTGATACCTTTCATATTCTGATCTTGTCACCGATGTTTGAAGGAACTGTACTCGAAGATCTTATATTATGTGTTTTTCGTCAGCACGTATTTAAAATATTTAGCAAGTATTTTCTCTGCAATATGATATCTTTTTTTATTCATCCAGAACTAGCCCTACATCAGGAACTACATTTTTAACACTTGAATAAACAACACCCAGATTCAAACTCTTTAGTGTTCCTTTTCTTCTGTTTAAATGTTAACGCATGTAAAAGAATCAATGTAGGATGTATTTTTCTCCCCTTTAAACATTTCTTGTGTACTTACTTTAAACTATCTACTTCGGAAATCATTTTGTTTGCAAGTAAATTGTGGAATGGACCTCCAGGTTCAAAATATTTGCACAAGCACAAATCTATCATGATAGAGGTGACCTAAAATGTTTGCAGATTTTTTTCTCTGTGTATTTGAATGTTGAATTGGTGGATTGAATAATCTTACTGGTATGCGAAATGTTCAATTAAAATTATAAAAGATGCAATACTTGGCGTTATCATGACGTCAAATCACCATCATTGTTATAACTTGACGCCAAGAAAACTGGCGGATGGAGGGTAAAGTTGCATAAACAACAACTGCCTTCCTTGGTCTGTTTTTATGAAAGTTTTACTCCAGGCCGCGTTTATCATATACGGTACCCTCTATCAAGTGACTTTTGGATTTTATCAGGTTGGTCTGCTATTTGCAACAAAACAGTTCTTCCCTCCTTTTGCTGATAAGCAACTTCCATAAATATTACAAGTGTAAGTAATTAAGTTATTTTCTTGCAAACTTATTTATTTTACTTAAATTGTTCATTTTGTTATTTATTGTAAGATTTAAGAGTTGTTTTATTAAATATCATTTTTTAATGACAACAATTTCATAATTTCTTCGTCCTTCCCATGTTGAATATATTTTTGGTGGAAAGAAATAAATTGCAGTTTAGCGAAGGGCATTATATTTATAAAAAATTATCACATGGAAGGACTTTTCAAGTCTTCCTGGATTGATAACATTCATTCTGACGACTTACAAACTAAAATCATAAACAAACAAATGAGCATTCTCGAAACATAAAAATTAAAACGAAAGAGCCTAAGCTTATAAGAACAGAGCTTATTTTTAGTATACAACACTTTGAGAAGTAAAAACTTTAAACGATTCTCCAAGATTGTGCTGATGTTCGATGAAAGTTATTAAAATTTGATACAACGAAAAAAGATTTTCTACGTGCACAGGAACATTTAAATTTTAAAATACCATGTTGGAGCCATTCATCTTTCTGACTTGCGTTAATTAAAAATAATAAAAAAAAAAAAAAAAAAAATAACAAAAGTACTCTCCACTTTTTGCTTTAAAAAAGTGATATAATAAATTCAGGAATATGATTCCTGCCATACAAAAAGAAATCTCTTTCTCAACCCTTGCTTGCATGCTTACTAGAGGCATTGAGGCAAAAAGCTTTCAATAAATTACGTATGAGAACACAGATCTGAGGAGCAAAAGTAGCAGATAAAATGCTCTCCTCCTCATCCTCCCCCCTCCCCTCCTCACAAAAAATTGTGCTTCTAAAAGTTTTCCCATGACAAGACGGAACAAGCTTAAAAGTAATGGTAACATAGAAAAAAAGAAAAATCGAGCTGTGTCATGTTTGCGTTAACAAAAATACAAAAGCAAAATGGGCCAGGAGGGAATAACAGGAGGTGTGCTTTTAGGGAGAATTTTACTCTCAGAGGATGATTCATGTATGAAATCTTAGAATTAAATGAAAATGGAAAGAAAGTGTAAGTTTGCTGTAGGGCAGTTTTATAATCAGTATCCGTCATCAGATCTATCAGAACAAATATACACTTAAAAATTCAAGAATCATGAGGTTTCCTGTCATACAGTGAAGTAGTGAAAGGAACTCTGAATATTGGCTTTGTTTCCCACATGAATTAAACAATGGACATAGAGGATTTTATCCAGTTTCAGCTTGGCATGACTGTGCTCAAGTAGAATCATCAATTAAGAATAAAATGCAGTTACGGAACAAAGCACATACATTGTTGCATTTTCTATGATAGTATCGCAAAATTTTCATGTTTTCGTTCATCTTTTGTACACTAATTTGTGCCTCTTAAATTAGCCACGGTTTCCAATATTTAGTGCATATACCCGCCACCAATGGCCAGATAATTGTATTTTTACTGAATTTCAAATGAGTCAAATCATCAAATTAACCGTGAATGTCTATTATTTTCTGTTAATTATATAAAAGAGTTGATCAACACCGGCAAAATATTTTATGTAATAATATAAGTGATTGACAAATAGAGCTCAAGTCTTGAGTTGCAGTCTTGAATACACGCTTGTTCTGAGTGAGTCTTGCTCTTGAACAAGGCATCTTTGATTTTTCCCCCTGAGTTCATCCTTTTACATCTATCCTATTGTTTCTTTTCACCCTCTTTTTAGTTATTTCCTCAATTCATATTTCTGGACACCTTATTCTCCGGCCTACTCCGATTCCTAGATCCCTTTTGTGGATGCAAATGGTTGTTGCAAGCGCCTTGTGTTGATCCTGAGGTTTTGGGGACCCATTAGAATCCTTTAAAATTAACAAATAAGTCTGTGGATTCTTTTAATAACTGAGAATAAAGCCATGAAACCAACAGTAATAGTAACCGATAAAAAGTTGGTAAATGTAAGGGAGGCATGCCTGTACGTTCTTGAAAAAATGTGTGCGATTCGAAACAATCATTTATAGAGAAGGTCATGAACATAGAGCAACGACAAAAGGTGAGTGCAAGTTAGCTTTCGTAGTCATGTGAAGTCACCGGGTACAGCTTTAATCGTAAATACCTTGGAAACTAATGTACGATTCACAAAAAGCTTAAAATTTATTCTACAACTAGGAACCAGAGTTGGGCTGAATATCTGGCTCCAGCCTGATATGATTTCTGAGGGTATCCATGCAATGGAGAATTTGCGCAAAGATGTTTTATTGCTGCATCAGAGAGAGCTCAATGAGCTGCGTAAGCAGTATTCGTCATAATTTTTTACTGATATGGAAGATTTTAGAAAAATAGATCTTAAAAGAGAAAATATGCTGCCTTGTAATGTCATCACACTGTGTTTTCCATTTAAACAAATGTATTTTAACAAATTAGGTCATCTGGTCATATCTGCTATAATAATAATTAATTTTAGAAACCAAGGATATTCTACTGCTCAGTTCACTCAGTGGTTTGATCTTAAACATGAAATTCCCAAAATTTCCAACACCTGCAAAGTCTCCATTGCCAGATAATCGCGTTTTCAGCCCGAAAATTTCTTTTCGAGAAACATTGATAAAAGAGACTGGATGCAACATCTTAGTTGATTATTATGTGTACCGAATGGAGTCGGCTGGTACGAATCCTTGACTTACAAGCACTTCCTCTTTTTCCTCCACTATAGCTCGTTGAGGCATTTTTTCCACATCTTTTTTACCGTTGGCAAGCAGCACTGACTTTAAATTAAACTGATTATCACTTAGTCCCCCACAATGCTATTAACAACCTTAGAAAAGAAGAGGAACTCTAAGTTTTTTCAGAGAAAATTAAATTAAATAGGATCCAACTTCAGCAATAATGCTGTGAGCAATGTAGCACCTTGTTCTTTGGTCTGCCATTGGACACTGTCAGTATCCGAAAGCGAGTCTATTGATTTGCTTAGCCCTGTGTCAGGCAAAGGATTGGTCTTGTATGAGCCTGGTTTTACAAGGACTTGGAATGCAGCGTGGGCTAGGTACAGTTTTTTCGTCTTCGGGTCACAGAATCTGGAAACAGACAAATCAAGGTCTTACTTATATGATCATACTTTTAGAGGAAATTTAAACTTTTAAATTCAAGCGTGAGTTTGTATCAGCAAATCTTCAAAAAAAATCAAATTATCATTTAACTATAAATAATAGAAACTTTTGAAGGAAAAAATTAGAAACAATAAGAAAAAATAAATTCAAATTACAATAATACCCTGAGCTCTTTTCTGGTGGTCTTGGGATAATTTTTTTTTTTCCGGTTTCCTTGCAGAATAGTGTCAATCCCGCACTGTTATTTTACCCTGGTGCTTACAGTATTTAGGCCACATTTTTGGTAGTCTTTATTTCTTGCTTAATGTTGTTTCATATTGTTTCATTTGCCCAAAAGTAGAGCGCAACAATGCATGAAGAAAGTAATATTTCAAATTGCATACTTACTCATGCTTTTTACTGATGAGAGGGGACGCAACATGTTTTAAAGTTGGCGATAAGATTATCTGAGAGGCATCACATTCGTTTTGCTTCCATTTAAATTCACTATGAGTATCACAACTGCCTAAATTTTCACCTGAAAGGATAAAAAAATCCTATTAAAGGGTCACTGAAATAAACAACGCAAATATACATAAGGTGGTGCTTTCATAAGGTTCTTGGATTGGAGTCTTTGAAAATGGCTCAATGGAGCTGAACTACTCCTAGCAAATCGCATGACAGCGCGATTCCTGAGGAGAGCCGCCCATAACAACTGCACACGTGGCAACATTGCTTCGAAAAAAAGAGATCGTAAAAACTTTTTGGGGCAAAACTAAGCTAAGTGAAAATGCGCAAAAAGTTATGTCAATGGATAAATCTTCAGATCTTTACTGGAAAGCCTGTTTGTCTTGCATCCCACTTACCAGGTAAAACAGACATAGAGGGAATAAAGGTAGACCCCCAAACTATATTTGAACAAGATTTGGAGACATGAGAGTAAAATTTGAATTGTATCAGAAGAGAAAAAATTCGACTAACTTCTATCTTATGGGTGGTTTCAAAATAAATTCAGATTTAGGTGTGAATAGTTTGGTTAGAAAAAAATACTCACAAGGATCAAAGAGCTCTCCTTGCTCTAAGACTTGGCGAATTTGTCCTAATGAAGCGCTTGCATAGGCTATGTGCCACTTATCACAGCTTAATTTTTCTACAGTTGATGGTGAGGTGAGTTTGTGAAGCGGTAATTTGCACCAATTAGAAGGAACGGTTCCAGGTGGTGGCTCCTCTTTCAGTGAATTGTAGCTTGGTGAACAATCAGAACAAAAACAAACGGCTGCTGTGTCGCTTTGAAAGTAGAAACTTGGTAAGCAAAGGGTTGCTTTCAACCGCAAACACAACTTTAGGTAATCACAGTTGGAGAGAGGTTTGAGAGGAGTTTCAGCTGCAGGTGACATCACAGGAGAGCCGTCATCAAATGAGCGTGTGACATTCACGCTCTTTCCGCATGTAACAGGAGTTGTTGCCGTTGATTTTCCACTAGATTTCCCTGCTTCAGCGAAAGAAGTGTTGGCGATATTGAGACTCGTTTTCTTATCACAATGGGATGCTGATAGCCACGATAGTGTTGCGTTTTGTACCTGCTCAAGATGCTGCAAAGACAGGTTTTCATTTGATGCGATTGATTTAGGATCAAGTTCATCATCAGAATTTTCAGTTTTTAGTGTCAAAGAGGAGGCAGAGGCGACAAGACAATTCTCGTTTGTTTTGACACTTTTAGAAAGCGCTGGATCATCGCAACACAGCTCTTGATCAGAATTTTCGTCGCACTGCTCCTTCTCATGGCTTTCGAGGTCAGCCTTTTCACAAACATCGACAGGTTTCAGTTCTTCTGGTACACTTTCGGGCTCCTCAATTTTGGTTTCAACTGGGGCATTCATTTGACTGAAGTGTAATGGTGAGTTGATGATTGAGATCTGGAAAGAAGAGCAAAAGAGCCGCCCTTTAATTTAGAGATTTATGAGCTAAAAGGTTGTAAAAGTGCTTAACTTAGATATTGTGTAATGTTTTTTGGTCATTTAGACTAGGAAATGACTGAATTACTGAACTGATTAGGTGTTGTTGAGGAACAGTGGGGAAATAATTTTGAAAGTCTTCCAGCAAGAAATTTGTGGGCTCATAAGCTGAGGTAGCAAGGAGCTACTTTGGCACTCTCGGCTACAGAGTGCCAGCCCAATAGATTTAATTTAAAGAATTGCAGCCTCACCTGATCACACTGTCCATAGAGATCAATAACAACATGGCACTTGTAAGGGATGTTTGAGGCAGCGACTCCCTGATCAACACCATTAACAAATAACCTTAACTGAGATTCAGCATCTACCATCACTCCAACCGTCTGCTTTACCGAAAGTTTGTCCAGATTGGGTCCATAGTTTGACTTGATCTGAAATAGAATTAGAAGTTAGCTAAAAAGAAGATACAAAAAAGGAGAAAAAAGCAGGGCCTCTTCAGATTTTTTATGAATTTCTATATTTTTATACTGTCAAAAGAATTGACTGCACCCTGGTATCCAGGAGATTTATGCTCCTCTAAAAAATTCTTGATTAGATCACTGCATAATGGTCTTAAATAATTTACATAAGCAGATTATAAAATCAGGCTTTCAAAATTTGTGGATATTATTTATTATTCCTGATGTGAAAACTGAACGATTCCACCTGAAATACCTGTGTTTCACTCCTTGCAAACAAACTAAAATCTCAACAAAATTTTAAGAGGAAATATTGGAAGATAGTCTGCCATCCCAGTTGTATTGACTGGCATTGAGGGGTTCTGCAAGCATCACACCAGTTTTTTGGACTGGGATGCAGTCATAATTTTTAAAAAGACGAACTTACTTTTTCTCCATCTTGGAAAACAGAATCAGCACTAATAATCCAAGCATTTTTCTTGAAACCTAAAGCTGTAGGTGGTACTGGAAACTGTGACTCATTAACGACACCTAGCATGATGGAGGAGACCCATCGAGGATTCAGGGACTCGAGGACCATCTACATGAAAGAGAAAAATTCCAAGGTGAAAAAAAACCATGCTACATGCTATATTGATTATGGGGTTCAGCTTAGAATGATTTCAACATAAAATGGCAATGCTTTTTATTTTTTCATTGACTAGTGAGTTTACTTCCTTTTCTATGAGGGGTTCATGCGAATTTACATATTTTTAAAGATGTATGGAACTATTTGAACAGTTTGTTTCAAAAAATATAGCTCTGTCTAAAACATAAGAGGGAGAAAGATGTTCATGATGCCAAGATATTGAGGATTTCAAGAGCAGTTCAAGAATAAAAAATATTTTGCTTTAGCTCAGTGAGGTGACTTTCTAATACTTTTAAAAATGCTCTTCAAAAACTACGATCAAAAATTTTACTCACTTGTCAGGTTAGTGAGGAAAATTTTTAAAAGTAGTTCCTACTAAAGTATTTTCAAAATTATTTTATCAAACTCAGTCCAGTACATATGTACTTCCAAAATGTTTAACTATCATGACTCTTCAATTTCTATCCATTCGAATCAGGAAACTTGGTCTTGTACCTGGAATAAAGTGCATCGCGGCAGGGGTTTGCTGCACACTACAACACCATTATTGTAACTGGTTTCACGCTTTATTGTGATGCCATCATTGATCAATACTATATTTTGACCCGTAATTTCCTTGAAAGAAAACCAGCAGTCCTGAAAGAGATAATTATGGATCAGTGAAAAATCTACCACTTATGGATCAAAGGACTCGATATACATTAAGGCATAATGTACTTGTACGTATACCAACCTTCCAACCTTGCAACAAGTAGCAAAAAATTGCAAAATTTAGAGCTATAGATGTAAGATGAAACGAGAACAGGAATAGAATGTGAGATAAATTCATAGCCAAGGACATCACTGTCCCTTGTCCTTTATTTTCATTAAATGCTAAAACTTGATAACAGAGTACATAACATAAAAAACACAATATTTTTTAAGAAACATGAATGCTGGGGAGGAAGTTTCATCTTAAAGAGAACCTAAAGTTCTGAGAAAGGATAGAAAACCTTTCAAAGCCAAAACAATACAAGAAATGGACAGAAGCTCCTATTAAGTTTCAATAAAACATGATTTTCAAAATGTATACTCTCATTAATCTTTGCAACATAAGTTTTACAGGTACTGGACACCTAGTTTTTTAAAGAGACAATGAAAAAACCTAAATATTAGAGTGTTTTGTGTCATCCTGGGTAAAATGAAACAAAAAATTCTGACGATGGGATGAGAAAAACTTACATCGCTGAAGATTTTTTTGATATCACTTTCCAGTTTATTGGCAAAGGAGCATTCTTCAGTTCCTCCCCTGAAAGAAAATAAACAAGAAAAAAATCAGCACAATAATTCTTTCTTTAAAACAAAAACACCTAGTTACATAATTAAGAGAAAAATAAAATAATGAGAAAAAGAAAACCAGAGAATAAAACAAAAGGTGATGATTAGATATATTTCCACTTGAATTGAGGCAAAAATTCTAGGACAGCATAATTCTTTAGACATTCTTCTTTATTGACGTACCTTAAAGCATGGTTTTCTATCAATCGACAAACTTTTTTTATTAAATATTTAAGCAAAAATTGGAGGTTCAGGCCTTTTTGAAGGGGCCTTCTTCATAACTCATTTGCGAAGCTTCTTGTCACAAGGGTCAAAGCCATCCTCCAATCTTCTTGACGCACTCAATTCAGGGATTATTGGCTGCCTAATGACCCTAATTTCTACAGGAACAAATTGATAAAATTACTTTTCAAGTTACCACTGTGGAACAGAAAATTCATCCAGAATTCAACCACCTTTGAATTGCAATTAAAGATAAAGAAAATAAAAAAGCTTCTGTAAGCACAAACCTGGTTGGAATATCAGCAACGGTTACTTCTACAACAGGACCACTTTGACACGAGGAGCTTTCATCTGACTTCAAGCTATCCGCCATTTGTGCTTTACTAGAAGCTAGCCGCATTAGAAATACGTCAGTAGACTGGCTAATCACGCTGACAGAGAGAGTTCTTCCACTTAAGTCCACGATAGCATAAAATAATGCCTGCGAAAAAGTAAATGAAGAGAAGGATAAATAAAAAAAAAATGGGGACAGGGTCAACGTAATTTTCTTTTGGGATCTTCAACAGCAAGCCCCACATTAAATGGAATGATAAAAATTTATTTTTTTCCTTTTTCCTTGCTTTTCCTTTCTTTCCTTTTTTTCTACTGTATTTTGAACATTGCTATAATTTTGCAAAAAAAAAATCTTGCAATGCTCATACTGTCAGGCTGTATGGCCTTTTCAATTTTCAAACCTGTTTTCAGGGCCCTCCCATTTTTGCACATACATCGCACCTCTCAATTTAAACTTTTTTTTTTAACACAATGTGTAAATAGAAAGAAACTCACACAAATTTTAAAATTAGGTTTTAATACAATTAAAAAAGGAAAAATTGGCAATACATTTGGAGGATTTTTGATGTGAACAGAAATGAGTCTGCCATACAATAAAATGACATATTTAAGCTAAAAGGATTAATATGCATAGGGTTTGCCTGTGATATGGTTCCTATTAGCACAGACACGTTCAAATAAGCCTACAGGTACCAGTGGCGTGGCGTACTTTGCGATACATTGATTGATACGCCACTCAAACATATGAAAAAAGATCGATTATCAGGGTGTTCCCAACAAACACCTTAGTAATCAATTCTTTACCATAGCTTCAAATGGCAAGATATCGATAATCGATTATTCCCGCCACGCCACTGACAGGTACATAAGATGAGCAAAGCCTCAGAAGAATACTTTTGGTTTCTATAATTTCCTAGGTTATGTTACATTCACAAATTGATAAACTAATGAAAATCAACGTTGAAAAATTACCTTTGGAATATTTTGTACCGCAACACCACAGTCAATGTTGTCGATATAAAATCGCAAAGTTTGATTACTACAGAGTTTTAAACTGACTAGAGTACCGGATTCTGCCCAATCCAGGCTTTGACAATACCTTTCCTGAAGAATCGTGTTGTTATACCAAATATCGCTTCCTGTGAAAACAGAAAAATTAGGGGCAAACGTTCGCATGAATTAACTTTAAAAAGAACAGTATCATGAGTAGAAACTAAAAATATTGTATTTTCTGACTAGAATGCACTATGTTCCACATTTAGCAAGTCATAATGAAGCAGTTAACATATTTTAATGAAATCAGGGAATTGGCCTATTACTGAACTGGTTTCTTTCTTGGCTCTAACCAGTGCTCGAAACTCACAGGCGCCAACGTGCCAAATGCGCCTAAGAAATCGGTCATGGCGCCTAAAAAATGAAGGCTCTGCGCCAACGTGACCCCTAAAAATTGCCCCTTCCCTCCAAAAAAAATCCTAATTTTTCTGTTCGGTGATTTTTCGAAATTTCCCCCAAGTTACAGTTACTAGTACTGTAACTAAAACATCTTGCGTCTAACTTTTAACTAAATGCGCCTTGATATACAGCACTGGAAAAAAAACACATTGGATCTAGAGTCCAGACTCTTGAAAACATTGACAAGAAAAAATACTCTTGATTCGATCGGATTTTTGCTTGAATCAAAACAAAATCCGCTTAAATTAAGAGGCTTGGTTCTTGATTTAAGCTAGATTCTGATTGAATCAAGAGTACTTTTTCTTGTCGATGTTTTTAAGAGTCTGGACTCTACATTCAATGTGTTTTTTTTTCCAGTGAGGCAAGAAGTCAATCTGGCCCCCAAAAAATCTTCAATGGCCCCTAAAAATCGAGCTTGATGCGCCACATGGCTCCTGAAACTCAAAGGTGAGTTTTGATCACTGGCTTTAACAATCCAAGTAAAGGTTGGACTATTTGTTGCAATTTTTATAAATTGAAAAATCTAATAGTTAATACTTTGGCATTACCTAAAATCTTCATCTCCCAGTATTTGTATGAAATTTAAGATAAAAAACAATGGGCTGGGTTTCAAATTAATTCAAATCATTAAGTAATTACTCTGGGTTAGGAAAAAACTCTCAGTAGGGGTAAAAGACTTCAGCTACAACCCTCTACAATTTAAAATCTCATTTTTATCTATATACTGACAGGATTTAAGCAGTGCTCACCTTTCAAGAACCATACAGGCTGTTTGAGCTGGTGAATGGTGGAGGGTAGAGCTGTTTTCTCCGCAGGCTGCATTGTTGTTATTCCGATTGCGAGTGAGCCCGCTAGTGCCGTATCACACTGATCTATTTGAATTGTGAACACCTGATCCTTCATGACAGGACAACTGGAGAATACGAGGCCATAATTACCTAGGCTAATTCGCGTTGCCACGGTATTATTAACATCGAGCTGTATGTGCTGACTGCACAATGCACTCAACCTGGAATTAAATGCAATGTTCGTGAGAAGTCATGATACATTTTCAAAACAAACAACTTTCCAGACAGGAAAGAAGAATTACATGTTTGGCAATCTAATAGTGTCTACTAAAAATTCATTTTGTATTTTTCTGATTTTTTCCTAATCTTTGATGAAATTTCCTAATTTTTTGCACAAAAAAATTGACATTCATCTGGTTTTACCAACCGACATATTCGATAAAGTTTTTAATTTATTCTTAAGCTAGATGCATAAAATTGAAAAATCCTTGATGCACTCAAGATTCCCTAATCCATGACCACTCTTCCCAGTAGTTTTCTGATTCTCTTAATGACATTGAATTTTCTGATGGTTTTCGGTTTAAACTTGCATTTGGCATAAATGTCTATTTTATATTTTATTGCACAAAAGGCATTGAAGATGATGCAGCTAAAAAATACTGCCTTTATGCTCATACTTTTAAGGGAAAAGGATAATAGGAAAAAAGAGACCCTTTGGAGGGAATTGTCTTAAGATAAAATTTGAGGAAATTTTACTCTTTGTATCACTCTGAATTATGGTTCCAGAGTGCTTTTGTAGATTCTATTTGGAGTTTTGAAGACATTTGACTCGGAATTTTGGTATGAAATAGATACTGCCGGAGGAACATGCAAGTAGAAAGAAAGGAGAAGAGGAAATAAAGTCAATAGGTAATTTGAATGATGCAATGAGTCACTAAACAAAGTCTGAAATAGATAAAAACATCATAAGAGGCTGCACAAACTTTGCAATAATCTATTACATCATGATTGCATAAAGATTGTCACAGTTTCCTAAGAATAAGAGATGAATTTCCTCCTCCCTACACCAAGACAATAAATCAGTAATTCATGATGATACCTGTGAGTTAAATGAGATGGAATGTGGGTCTTCTTTTTTACTTCTGGTTCTCTAAGGATAGGGGTGAATGTATCACCAATCTGAGAGGCTACAGATGGTGATGATGTGTCGGCATCATTGCAGTCAGCATCTTGTCGACCTTCAGGTAAACTCACGATTGATACCTAGAAAAATTTACAGAGTTAATACTAGCAAGACAGGAAAGCAGATGGGTTGTTACCAGAAGTATGCATTCGTGTTCATTTTAGGATTAATTATAAAATTACAATTTAAAGTTGGGCCAAAACAGGTTTCATGCGTATCTGAAATCAAATACTGATCTTTGATACGCCCTAGATTTAGATACTGAATATTTTGTCAAAGTATGCCACCTGATATGAATACAGTGAAATCTCGCTTGGTAAAATTCACAAGGGACCAAGACAAATTCGAACTTAGATGTAATATTGTTAACATAAGATTTAAGTATCAAATTTATGTTAATGTGACGTGTACGATAACTGCCTGTGTCTATGTACAAAAAGTTGCAAAATAAAATAAAAATAAAAACTTAAGAGGCTTTCTGTCTGAACTGCTTTGCTCCATAGCACGAAGGAGGACTAAAAATTCAAGGTGAGCTATTTCAAGTAACTTATAATTGATTTTTTATAAATTTAAATTTTTTTTTTTAGTGAATTTTTAAATTTTAATTCTAACTTTCAAAAAATTATTGAAGCATATCAAAAGTCACGAATTATTGCGGAGTAAAGGGACCAAAGAAATTTTCGACTTACACTGGATTTCGTCTCAACTGCAGTTTGACATAATAAGATTTCTCAGTACTGCTACAGCTGGAATTAATTTATTTATATATGGGGCAATTTTTTTAAAATCAAAATTGAAGCACAAAAACAAAAAGGTACCTGAGCACATTGTCCATACAAATCAATGACAGGATATACATTCTGAGGAACTGAAAAACATGCTGCTCCTTGGTCGATGCCATTCAGGTAGAAGTGCAAGGATGTATCAGGATGGCGCATCATCCCGATCACATCTCCTACTGATAACGAATCCAAATTAAGCTTGTAACTGTGCCTGAACATAACGCCATCTTGCATCACAGTTGCACCTAAAATGGATAAAATTTATAGAAAAACTCAGTTAAATACTGACTGTCCTTAATTCAGCTGGTTACAAAACCCGGTTTGATAATAAAACATTTCAATTAATTTGCACACAACTTCTGAGCGAATCTGAATTACAGCAGGTGTTTCATTCTATTTTTTCATAATTTAGAGATCCACATTTGTTTCAAGACAAAATTCAAAGTTCATTTCGAGGCTGAATTATGTAAGAGAATACTCCCAATGAGTGAGGAATATTTTGACCCAAGTAAAGAAGCAAGAAACGAATCTTTAACCATTATGCACTAATATTATTATAAATTAATGCTGAATAATTTACATGTTGATACTAAAGCGTGTCATTGGAATCAGCTGATAGTGTTGATATTATGTAAACCTAAAGGAGGCAGTTAAATTAATGTATTAAAAAATTTTTGTACATTGGTGATTAAGCTCTTTTGATGAAATTCACTGTAAGCATTGCTACAGAAATTTAAAATAAACAATGAAACATCTAAGTTTCAAGAATAGTACATCTGTTGCATTTTTGCCTTGTCATTTGAGTCAGTGAGGAGGATTAAGACAGTTAGTGCCTGGCATTAGCAAATACAAGATGATGACTGAACGAACAAAAAACCGCACACCTCAATCGTAACGTTTAAACATCTCTAATTATTTTTCAATTTTTGTAATGAAAACGTATCAGAATGTCTCCTTGCATACATGTGATTTTTTAATTAATAACATGAAAAAATTCTTAGTAATTTTTACAAAAACAATTGTTTAGTTTTCCTTTAACAAATTTAATGAAGGAATGCATTTTTTTATTTCAGTCATTGATATACTTCGTAAATCATTGAGACCAACAGTTAAAAAATGTAATTTCTTTACCCGATAGCATCCATGTATCATGGTCTAGATCAGTCATGGTCCCAGGCAACTCTAATTCGTCTGGTCTAATGGCTGTAACACCTGAAAGAATAAAGTCAAGATTGAGGTGAGTTGTAACAACGATGTAAAAATTATGGACAAGACTCATGTTAGGACTCTGAAAACTTCTTTAGAGTAGTTCGAAGAGTTATATGCGTGCAGTAGGTATTTTGTTAGAAACATGGAATATATAAAACAACACAGTCGATTAGATGAAATCAACAAATTGAAAATTACTTTTCTTTTGAATGATTGAATTTTTTAGAGAAAAACACATGAACATTGCCAAAAGCTTACTAGTTTAAGTATTTATTTTCAATCAGCAAGCACATAACTTCTACCTTTTCATAAAAATGTGCAAAATTAGAGAGGTTATCCCAAAAATCTAAGGTAAGAAGGGCAGAATATTTGCCATGGCACTTTTGATGCGTACATTGCACTGTGTATCAATTTGTGAAAGGAAATGTTGAGGTTATTACCTGCTTCTATTGATCCACACCATCGGTCTACCAGTTTTTCTATGACTACTGCAAACATTTCATTTTCTTTCAAAGTTCTGTTGCTTATAACGATAGCTTCATTGAATTCATGTAGGGCTTTTGGTCTTGAAGCAGTGCGCCCACCATTTGAGACTCTGGCATTTTTTCCATGGAGATAGTGAAAATGGAGATCGCTGAAAAACCACAAAAAAGATGGATTGATTTACAAAGAAATCTGATGTGATCTGCCATTTTAGAAAGCTGATGAGTCATTTTTTCGTTTTCACACAGGTCTTAATTTTTCTTTCCTTCTTTTTTCAATCGACTTTTTTCAAAAGCACTCATGAGGCACTTATGACATTTGGGGGATAAATTTTCCATTGCTAAAAATTCCGCACTTTTCCCCATTTATCATCATTTAAAATATCCAAGGTTTAGCAAATAACCTGGCAACATTGTTTTTGTAATTGGGGACTAGTGTTTTTGGCTTATTAGAGAAAGAGCGTAGGTCTCATTAGTTTCTCTATGCAGATAAGTGCTTTTATGAATGAGTCAGAAATATGGGTAGCAAAAAACAGTCCAGTTATTCTTTGAACACTTATTAAACGTAATGAAGATTTTACGAAGCTGATACTTATCATTGTCCAAAGTGCGAAACGATGCATCTCCATTGCAGTGTTTCAAAATTCTCCCTCCTATTTTATTTTTCAAAGAGGAGCAGCCTAACTTAATAGCTTGAAATTTATACAGAATATTCTGCCGACGGAGAAGAAAAATCGAGTAAGTTTTCAAGAAATTAGGTAGTTTACTTCTCCAAAGACCAAAGAAAGAACAGGAAAGTATGACAGGAAGTCTGCAACATTGTAAACGGAGATACAAGATCTCCCACTTTGACCATTGTTCTTGGTATCGATTAGTTGCAGAAAAATCCACTGGTTCAATCTATTATAAGTTGAATGATAAAAAACACAGCTTGAAAATGGCTTAACTTACACATGTTCCCCGAAGACATTTGGAGAGCTTTGTGCTGGAGATGAGCAGCAACAAAGAAGGTTATAGTCAACGATAGTTGCCTGCGCAGCCTGACCATAGAGGTCAATGACACCATACACTTTTCCTACTGGAATGTTAGTTGCAGCCTCGCCAAGATCCACACCATTTACAAAGAAATGTAACGCTCCATTCTCTTTAACGATCACTCCAACTCTATCTCCCACCTGAAAAAAAGAGACAACGGTATTTCTGGAGGGTGATCTCTTACTGCAAGAAGTTTTCAATGATGGCTTTTGATCTTTGTCTCTAGATCTACAGGGTGGAATACATTGCACACTTTCCCTTTCAAAATAAGCACTTGAAAACGTCTTCAAATAGACGGCAAATGTAATTTTTACAGAGAAACAGAAGACGAAATAAATATTTTAAAAAAATGTGCCATTGTGCACTCCGAACAGGAGAAACTCGAATTGGATTGCATTTTGCAAAAAGGAACCAGGAGCACTGCAATGTTACTAAGATTGTGCAACTTCTTCTGTCTTGGAAGAAAAACCTGATTATCCATTAACAGTTTCTATTTTACTCGCTAAAAACTGTTAATTTAAGTCAAAATTACAATGTAAATTTCATATTTTTTCATGGTTTCAGTAATTTTATTGCAAAGGATGAAAATGCACAATCTTGGCATCATCGCAATTCTTCGAGTACCTTTTTGCAAAATGCAATCCAATGGATTGGAGATTTGCTGAAATGAAATCATGCAATACGGTAGGAGGCTTCATATAAAATATTAAAATTACCTGTAACTGATCTAGGTTTGGTCCATAATCATCGATTATAGTTACTCCATTTCTCATCACTCCATTTCCAGTCATCATCCATGTTCCAGACCTAGGCATTGAATTTATGATTAAAAGTTTAAAAAACTAAAGGGGCTGAATCAGAGGTTCAGGAAGTAGGGCTGTCCTATCCGTTGACACACAAGACGATAATGCATTGAACGAGGGCTCTCACAACTCCAATAAGGCTAGCGGTTTCCGACAGAATCAGAGCAAATCAGAGCACTTAGCATATCGGTATAAGATGGAACCAATAGCTTACCAGTAAGAATCATTTGAACGCACCTTCTCGATAGTTCTTTGATTTTACACAAAATGCTCTTTTTTCCCTTTGATTTAAAGGTGGTCAAAGAATGTGCTGAATATCTTTTCCACAAAAAAAGACTGTAGGACTTACAAGGGGAGTCTACGAAGTGACATCCTGGGATTTGGTTCATTTTGCTTGTACATGAAGAAGAGACAAATCTAAGGTTGACATATTTTTTTTTAGCCGCCACCTCCCAACCGTTCTCGAGATATCGATTTTTAAAGTTACGATTTTTGCACGTTTCCGCGCGGAGTTCCGGCGAGTCAACTGAGCGCCGGCAACCTGCACGAAGCGTGCTTCCTATCAGCGCTGCAGACCGGTCGTCCTTATCAACTGGTCCGTGGCCGAGTGGTAGAGTGTTCGCTTACCGTACTATCGGTCGCGGGTTCAAGTCCCGCTTCATACCGTAGCTTTTGGGGCACGCCGCGATGCATTTTTACAAGTTTTCTTTATTTTTATCACACACCAAGGGGTCCGCCCCCTGGCCGCTACGCGGCCCAACCCCCGGGGCGAAAAGGCCCGCTTCGCGGCAAGCGAAATCATCGAAATCGACCGTTGACGGTTACTGGGTAAATAATTTTAATTGAATGATAAAATGATGTTTCAAAAAAAAATTTCCCACTACACAATATTCTTAATGACTTTTTCCTTACTCTGAATTTGCAGCCGTCAACGGTCGATTTCGATGATTTCGCTTGCCGCGAAGCGGGCCTTTTCGCCCCGGGGGTTGGGCTGCGTAGCGGCCAGGGGGCGGACCCCTTGGTGTGTGATAAAAATAAAGAAAACTTGTAAAAA